TCTTATATACAATCAAATGATTTTCAACATGAGTGCCAAGCCAATTCAGTGGGAAAGAACACTCTTTTCAACAAATGATGCTAGGAAAAACTGGGTATCCACATGCAAAAGAACAAAGTTGAACCCTTACCTTATACCATCTACAAAAATTAACTCAAAATGGATCAAAGACCTATGTAAGAGCTAAAACTATAAAATACTTAGAAGAAAACATAATAAATCTCCATGATCTTGGATTTGGCAATGGTTTCTTAGATATGACATTAAAAGCATGAGTAACAAAAGAAAAAATAAATTAGACTTCATGAAAATTAAAAACTTTTTTACATCAAATGGCCCTATTAAAAAAGTAAAAGGACAACCTATAGAATGTGAGAAAATTTTTGCAAATCACATATGTGATAAGGGTTAATATCCAAAACATATATAGAACTCTTAAAACACAACAAGAAAAACAAAAAGAACACAAATTTTTCAAATGGGCAAAGGACTTATATAGACATTTCTTCAAAGATATACAAATGACCAATAAGCATTGGAAAAGATGCTGGACATCACTAGCAACAAGAGAAATGTGAATCAAAACCACAATGAGATACCACTTCACATCTACTAGGATGGCAAACAGCAAGTGCTGGTGAGGATGTGGAGAAATTGGAACCCTTGTACATTGCTGGTGGGAATGTGAAATGATGCAGCCTCTATGCAGCCTGGCATAGCAGTTCCTAAAAATATTAAATACATAATGTATCACTAAGTAGTCGGAACTCTACGATTCTTGCTGTGATAGGCTTATATTTCAGTTTTTATGGACTATGAAGACAAAAAGTCTGGGATTGAGTAATATAATAAAGAGAAGTATTCATTTTATCGCTTTCATTATTTGAATTATTTATAAGAATGCATTCATATATTGCTTATATAATTAAAAATACGCTGCCTCTCCCCCCCCAAAAAAACTAATAAGAGAACTGAATATACTGGGGGTTTTTGTATATATTTTCCCTAAGAGAATTATCAAAAACCAATCAAATACAAAGTTAATAAAGACACTACAGTAGAAAAATGCCAGGAGAGAGATACTTAAAAAACACCGAACACATATAAAATGAAGTTTTGCAAAAAATAAGGGAAAAAAATGATATTAATTATTATATATTAAAATATCCATCAGCTAAAATTTATTAGTCATCTAACAGCACATTCATCATGGGCACTATGCTACACACTACGTGGAATATTAAGGTGTACTGAGACATAGAACCAGCCCAATAGGAGTTCACAATTTTGCTAGGAAATTGCAAAATTTACACATAAAAAGTTAAAATATATACAAGTCAGTGTACGCCTGAGAACAAATGATTTATTCTAAATAAGCTATTTTCTCCTTTGAGGATAAAGACCTCATGCAGAGGTTAAAATATTTTGCAGATGTCCACAAGAGCCAGTACTTTTTAGGTCCATTAACTGAGAAAATACAATATGAAAGTTCCTATGAATGTAGGAGCAAATTATATTAGTACATGACTGCTGCCAATGATGGAAAACGAAAATAACACTATTTAAACAAAATGGAAGTTTATTTCTCTCATGAAACCATCTGCAGTTCAGGACTGGCACTGTGGCTTCCCAAACATCAGGAGCCCAGCCCGCACCCCATTTTTTTTGTTTTTATTGATTTCAGAGAGAGGAAGGGAGAGGGAGAGAGAGAAGCATCAGTGGAGAGAATCATCCAACAGCTGCCTCCCACACACCCCTGACTAGGGATCGCACCCGCAACCTGGCATGTGCCCTGACCAGGAATGGAACCATGACCTCCTGGTTCAACCGCTGAGCTATACCAGCTGGGCCCCAGGGCCCTTTGATCTGGTAACTCCACCATCCTTAAGATGCTCTTTCTACCTCATGATCCAAGATGACTGCTTCAGCTCCAGGAGCACATCCTTATTCCAGTCAACAGGAAAGAAAAGGGGCCCACTGTCTCCCTTTACATTCTTTTTAGTGTTAGAGTCAGAATGACCCAGATTCTAACTGTGGCTTGACCAGTTACCAGCTGTGTGACCTAGGGGTCAGTTATTGAGTCTCTGTAAATATCAGCTTTCCAAAAGTAGGACACATAACATTTATGCTTACATTCCACTAGTCAGAATTTGGTTACATGACCACACTGAGCTGCAAGAGAAGCTAGAAAATGTAGTCTTTATGTCTAGTACATATTATGGAAAAGGGTAGAATGGATTTTGGGGAAGAACAGATCTCTGCCACACACTTTTTTCTAAAAATATTAATGAGAAAAAATACTCTTAAACTTCTGAAAAACAGAGGGAAATATATGTGCAAGACATATGAATTATTTAATCTACAGAAAGTGCTTGGTGACATTTTGAATCTGAGGATCTGGTCACAAACTGGTCTCAACCGAAAGCTGCACAGAGCTCGAAGGCAGTCTGGACGAGTTTAGGTTGGAAAGGTTTCATGGAGGAGATGAGCTGGGCAGTGAAGAATGCAGGAGGTTGTGAAATAGATGGGGGAGGGCAACAAAGACGAAACTTGACAGCAAAGGCAAGGAGGCTAGCAGGGCAGTTTGGCTGGAGCAGAAGCATGTGGAAGTACTTTATAAACCAAAAACAGTATGAACATTGTCTTTATCACACACAAAGTATTGGGAGGTAAGGTTAAAGAAGACTGAAAAGCTCTAGAAACACTTGACTACTAAAGGGAGGCTTTTGACACTCTGGCTCCACCAGTTACTAGATATGTGGCCTTGGGCCAAGCTAAACCCTGGGACTTGACTTCCTCATCTGTGAAATGTGGGTGATCACCACCACCTAACAGAGTTGTTTTGAGGTTCAATACTAGCATCTAGTCAGCATTCAATAAACAGAAGGATTAAGAAAGGATGTGAGCAATTGAGTAACACAGTAATTTTTTACAGTTAGTAGCAATCTGATAGCCAGTGTAGGAGTGATTCAAGAGGAAAATCTAAAGTTAGAGCAAAGCACTCTCATCCGGCACAGCTGATGCACAGGGGTTTGCACTTTATGCTTCAGGCAAAGAAAAACTGGAGCTGGCAGAAGGAATTTGGGAGAAAGTGATATCAGCTAGTAGTACTGCCAATGTCCAGGCCCAGGGATGCAGGCCTGAAATAAGACAGTGGCTGTGAGGGTGGAGCAAATGATCTGGCTATGAAAGGAAAGTGCAGGAGGGGGTGAAGGAAAGGGAAGGAAGGGTCTGGCTTAGGTGACTAAATGGCCAGTGGCACTAGTGACCAAAACCAGAAAAAGAGGCGGGGAAGAATGGGGGAGGTAAGTTCAGTTTAGGCCATTGACGTGATGATGCAGGGACATCCAAATGATGAAGGTTCCCAATCACCCAACAGATACAGAGCTCTGACACAGAGGAGGTGTCTGGACCAGAGGCGTGTATATTTGGAAGCCATGTGAAATAAGGGTAGCAAAGCTATAGCAGGAGAAGGGGAACTCCCCCCGAGAAAGCCTGTAGAACAGAAACCTGAAGGTCAACACTCACTGGCAAAGAAAAAGAGAAGCCAGAAAGTGGGGCACAGAAGGAGAGATGGGAGAACTGGGAGACAGTGGTATCAAAGGAAACAAGAGAAAGAGCAGTGGCTAATAGAGACTTCAAACTGTCACAAGTTCTCAGACAGTTACAAAGACCTGAAGACACTGGCAGACGGCTCAAATGTTAAGGGCAATGTTCCTGAGGGCTCTTCCGAGCATCAGTGCTGCGGCTGCATGGGAAAGATCAGCTGGCCCCAGAAATGCTGACCTCCTGCTGGAATGAGGAACAGTTCAGGACCCAGCTTAAAGGAATCTGCCACTGCACAGTTACACCAAGGCAACGACAAGATGGAGGAGTTGCTGGCATCCTCTTAGTCTCTCAGTGGTGGAACAAAGGCCTGGAAGGGTGCAAGGAGGTGCTCCAGACACAGCCTTGGCCCTCTCCCGTCAGAGCCCCTGCTAGACTGTGAACTTTTCAAGACGCATCCTCAGCATCAATCACTACACTGTGCATTTAGAAAGTACTCATGTTTGTTGAATAAAAAGCCAAAAGCAAATAGGTGAACAAGAGAAGTAAGTGCTGGAGGACATAAGCAAATAAGATAGAGAAGTGGCTATAGCTCCAGAAATCCAGTTCAGACGATGGCGGGAGTTAGGCTCTGCTGCCTCCAACCCAGCTCTTTAACCTTGGACGCATCCCTTAAATACACCGTAAGAATTACAATAAAACCCAGACGGGCATGGCTCAGCGGTTGAGCTTCGACCTAGGATCCAGGCGATCAGGGTTCGATTCCTGGTCAGGGCACATGCCCCGGTTGCAGGCTTGATCCCCAGTTGGGGGCGTGCAGGAGGCAGCCGATCAATGACTCTCTCATCATTGATGTTTCTATCTCTCCCTCTCCCTTCCTCTCTCTGAAATCAATAAAGATATATTTTTTTTAAAAATTACAATAAAACCCACCCTAAATACAGTACTCACCTAAGTGACAATGTAGGTAAGGTACCTGGCAAAGTACTTATTGCTGCTCAACTCTCCAGAAGTTGGATGTGAAAACATGTCGTACCTTTCTGAAAGGAATTATAACTATAAATTGGCCGCTTATCATCAATCACCGTCAATTAATGTTTACAGCAACCAAGAACTGCACAGCCACATCACGATTAAGACCATGGAGATAAAAGCTCTTTCTCCTAGAGCCTCATTAAGGAGTTTAGAGAAAGCAAACGAGGTCATGTAGGTAAAATAACTTGAGCAGTGAGTAGCACCCGCCCTAAGGATCGACCTTTTCGAAATGTACCTGTGTAAGACTCAAAATGCCTTGGACTCAGCGCCACTGCTACTAAGCCAAGGCTTCCACTACACCCACTTGGCAGAAAGCAGAAGAGAAAATATACAGCTTTTTCTACACGTATGATTTGCTATTTAAAAAAAAAAAAAAGAGGGAGACGCAAAAAAATAGTAGCCCTCGAAGTTGTACTTACAAATTCTGCTTCTGTAATAGTTGGTGGCTCTGAAACAAGATAAAACATTACATTATCTCACTCAGGTCGGGTTTCCTTTGCAAGCAGGGGAAGGCGTCCGAGGCGGCACCAGCCCTCCGCGCGGCCGGCTCCGCGCCACGGGACCCCCGC